CTCAAGCATTCATATCACTGCGTTACACTCAAGAAACAAGATCACCTGGTTAGTGAGGATGGGGTGCGAACCGCTGGAATTAAAGGCCAAAATCCGGAATTTGGTCGAAGTTTGAGACCTTTTACAGAAAACTGCAGGGGAAAACGCAAGCGGCGGCGCAGTAATCACAGGGATAGATTTGGACACCTGCCTGCACCACTCCCACCAATTTTCATCCGCTGCAAGATACCGACCCACCGTAACGTTTAGCTGTTATTCGAAAGGTCGCAGGATATTATACAGAAATTATCAGGTTTTTTTTTTCGCTATGCTTTCGCGGGAGCGAAATGGCTTCAATTATTAACTTCAGACTTGCAACTGGCACAAAACACCGATACGTTCAAAGAAAATTTAAGAACATTGACTTACTTGCCTTATTAGGCATCAACGATTTCGAATAATATGTGTCTGTGAACTTTCCGCTTGTGGGTAAAATACTGCTTAAATTGTGTTTACTTTAAGTCGATGTTTCCCATTTTATAAGGATTTCGTTTCTGACATCCAATTGATTCGTACAGGCAACCTAACGGTGTGCATAAAAAAAGGATAAAGCATTTGCCGTTGATCAATCCCTTTTGGGATGCGGCACGCATTCTTCTTCCATTTGTACATTCGTAGTGGCGTTTGAATGCGATGTGGCCTATACAATGACTTGCGGGGGCCAGCCGATGTTCAAGTCAGTGTTTTTATCCTCCCAGACAAGTCTGGTACCAATTAACCGACCCCGGAGGGATGGAAGGCTTGGTTGGCCCGGGCGACTCACGACCCAGGATTTGATCCCGGACCGCTCGCGTGGTAAGCGCGCCACTTGTCACTACACCACTTCCGCCCATGCATAAGATAATAAAGTAATAATAAAGGATAAAGGATAAAGCATTTGCCGTTGATCAATCCCTTTTTGGGATGCGGCACGCATTCTACTTCCATTTGTACATTCGTAGTGGCGTTTGAATGCGATGTGGCCTATACAATGACTTGCGGGGGCCAGCCGATGTACAAGTCAGTGTTTTTATCCTCCCAGACAAGTCTGGTACCAATTAACCGACCCCGGAGGGATGGAAGGCTTGGTTGGCCCGGGCGACTCACGACCCAGGATTTGATCCCGGACCGCTCGCGTGGTGAGCGCGCCACTTGTCACTGCACCACTTCCGCCCTCAGTAATAAATAAATAAATAAATAAATTTAGGGCGAATTTTAAATGCGAAGTTCACCACCGAATCCTCTCTAATATGACCGTTGTCATAAAGTGAGTCAAAAGATAATATGAGAAACAAACAAGAAAATACAGAAAAACAGAAAAATAATAAGAATATCGATCACTACACATGAGTTTCTGTGCAGCCGACGGTTTGCGTGCGGCATGTATGTCGAGAGACGGATAGATAGCAATCTCTGAAACACGTCAGACACTCTCTTCTCCCTCTTACTAGTAGTCAGTTGATAAAGAGCTGTTTCATATTTTGGACTGTTTTGGCGGTGTTGCCTGCATTTCTCCTTTACATTGACCGCATGAGCACCCAACACTTTTATTTGAACACCTAACTCTCTCCTTTTATCCCGGTTCTTGCGTCCAAGAGTTACAACCACTAACTTGTCATCCAATCACACCACTGCAGAACCTCTTCCTCTTTCTGAGAGAAATCCCTCAAATTCCTCGAAACCCTGCTGCTTTCATGACAAGTAATCGAGTGTGATAGACAGTTGTCGCCTGGCAAAGCCGTCATTTTGACAATAAAGTGCAATTCACCACAAACTAATCCCTAGTTGCGATTTCTATGTTGAGGACAGATCACTTGATGTACTTTTCTGATGCTGCTTCTAGGAGAGCCACTAGAGCTAACAAGAGGTAAGGAAGCGCAAAACGCTAATTGGATTTGAAGGTTCCTGGAATCTTTGCTACTTGAAGTGTGTGTTATGTGTTCATTTTGTACTCAGAATTATAGCGCTTGTCTAGTGAAATCAAGTGAAATGCTTGATATTGATTGTTCTACACGAAGCACGCCAAGCACTTCCCTTTCATTTAAAACCACAAATGCCTCTGAGCGAAAATTGGTCTACCCTGCGAATTGCAAGACCCAGCCACTGTTTATTTCAGTGTTCCGTCTTCATGCAGAGATGTGATTTCAAGTGGTCCGGCTCAGAGGTGCTGGGGAGGTTAATTCCTTAGTTTGGCTTCAGGCAACGAAGTTGGTCGCACAACTACATATGTACTTTGTGAGCCGTGTAATATGTAGGCGCGAACACGACAATTTAGCGATTTCTTCGTGCTTTTGTCATAAGTCGGGTTAGATTCCAGTATTCTATGGCTTGAAGGCGGAGTTGACGATGGAAAGGGGCCCATTAGAGGGTCAGGTAAGAGATGGTCAGTGATGCACGAAAGAAAAAAAAACAAGAGAAACGGCCTAGAACCCGAGAAATGGGACCCTTCCTTGCCCGTTGATTTTCGCATTGATGCGACTCTCATCGATGCTGCCCTCTTCAACGTTAAGCTCTCTCTGCGAAACGGCTAAAGGCTCAGACAGCACAAGGGGAGGGGGCGTACAACGCAGATAGTGCGCCAATCGCGTTCCGGGGAAAGGCCATGCTACATCGCTGGAGACATATCCCCTTAGGAGGCTCGCGTATCTCTCCACTATCATGGAATCCGCCTTTAATCCCATTTGAACTCGACTCATCAAGCTCTGCAAGGTAGTGCTGTAAATTTTTGGAAAAGTTCCATTACGGAATGTGCCATGCACTTGAGTTTTGTATATTCAAAGAAAAAAAAAGGTCTCGTGGTCACCAGACTCAGTCTACGGAAAGTCGTTCTTAACGAAGCTGCAGCATTCAAAAAATGACACTGCTCTAAAGTGAAATTAAATCTCAATCTCACATAACACATAGAGAAAGTGGTCGTTTAGCCCAAAACTCCATTTCGCATTAATTTAGCGCCCTAGCAATTGAAAAACATGAGAGCCAGGAGAAACTGTCAACTTTGTTCCATCAGTTTACTGATTGACTAACGGGCGCCATCTAGAGCGAATGTTGTTATCCTTATCCTTCCCACTGACGTTTCGCTGCATAAAGTGTTATTCGTACCCAACGGTGTATAATTACCTTACTGATCTCGCAGATAGAACATCGAATGCATGGCTTATTACAGAGTGAAAAGTTCCGAACTTCGTCACATAAGAACCATTATGTTCAATCAAAAAGAGCTGACTCTATGGGTTTTATTCTCAAGAAATACCCCACTTGTGAACCAGATTAATAAAATATGAAAGAACCTAAATCGCAGACCCTTTTAGCCAAATTTTAATGAACTTTAAGAAGTTCGATTTACGTGAGATGGAGTCAAATTCCAGCTCGTAGCTTCAACGAAGGCTATATCTACCTACTAAGAGAGGGCAAAAATCGACTATTTGCCCCATGTCGCTAATCCAGTGCATTTTTTCGTTCGTGAATAATTGCAAGTCGTAGAGAGAAGCCTACAGCACCAGCATTCCTCCAAAATATTCCCTCCAACCATGGCTAAGGACTGCAACCCTCCTCTTTACTGCTCTCCTCCGTTCTTAGAACTAGTGACATCAGTACTGCTCATCAGTCGTCGAGCACAAAGAATTTTCATATCCTAAGTGCTCCAGGCCTTAAAAGCTGGAAATATTTCTAATCATCCACTGTTGTTAATTTTCCCTGAAGACATTAACTCGTGGCTAATGAAACCATTAACGATTCGAACCCCACTCTGTTTCAAAAAAGGTTAGCAATGGTGCAATAGCCATCCGTCGAAAGGACGCTCTCGTTTGAGCTCCCTAGCCCATGGTTTCCGAGCAGATCATTTCCGATGCAGATCCACGTAGTAAAGCCGGCAAGAAATATTTTTGGACGATGCGCTCTTTCAGTTTTATATGTTGGGCAGCTTGCTTGATCCAGCACTTGCCATAACCCATATGAAATGGAAAACAAAATCATATTCTTTGATGCTCCGCGCTCAGCACCAGAATTTTCTAAAGCTATCCCACTTTCCACGAATCCAGTACCACAATATTCCAAATGTTCGCTATAATAATAGAAGTTGGCAGAAAGCTTGCTTTTCAAAGTGAAGGAATTGATCTGCAGAGCCATCGTAAAATTTGCCTCAGAATGAAACGGAATTGAATTTTCAATGATGCTGCGACAGTTGCCAAACTGTCCTCTATACAGTAACCCAGCAACCCCTCAACAACTGCCCCTAATTATGCAACCGCTTTCCTTATGTGCAACTCAAAATTAGACACTCAACGGTTTTTCGGAGTTGACGAGCTGCGTCGGCATTCCGAGTTGTTCTGTAAACACAATTGAGCTCTCTTGGGATCGTGCGAAATCCGACATGACGAATGTCGAAATGAATTTCGCCCAGCCCGCGCGCTGTCACTCAAGCTATTCGATGGTTTTTCCGAAAAAAGTGGCATAAAAAGACGCCACAATTTCGACTTGTGTCACAATTTTTCGCTGACATTTTTGAAAAGTTTGAGCCGTTGCTCATCCGTGGCGTATTCATTTCTCTGACCGCTGAATTTGAAACCATCAACGAAAAAAGAAAAGCAGCAATATTTATTTGATTGACACAAATTCGCATAGTAAGGCTTTGATGAAAGAGTGGAAATAAGTTTGCGGACACAGAATGCAAATTAAATGGAAAGTACCCTTAAAATTCATGCAGACTACCTGAATTCACTAACATTATCACGGCAGAAGTTTAGCACGATTAAGATCAGCAGTTGATTTGTAGATGAACGCGGTAAGTGGCACATACTTATGAAAGCAACTTCAAAGCAATTCCAGAGTTCAGCATTAAGACTTCGAGGAGAAGCTCAATAAAGATCAGCCTATTAATAAGGGTATCGGTCGAATCACTGGTGGTGAACCCGTAGCCGTAGTGGAGCACTGAAATGGTCCCGATGAACGAGGACCGTTATCGTGACCTGTGTCATCGGTACGTTTCAGGAAATTGGAACGAGATTCCTTGAGACGTTCGCCTGGTTCTCCTGAATGCAGTTCCAGTCGTTACGAGTCTGATCCGGCGGCGGAACGAAACACTCATATGGCGGAGGAGCTGAAATGAAAACGATCATCAACAGATTTCAGCTCTAGGGATAGCAACTTTCCCAGCTGGGTAAGGACGCGGGCGAAATGCATGGGAAAATGTGTGGGGTCAGAAAGTCCAAACTGATGATATATGCAACGAAGTGTATTGCAGAGCCGCTGCCGTACACCACAGAGTTCAAAGATTGCCAGCACTCCAACGAATTATCGTCTCTCCTAACAAGCCCCTATAGTTTAAGCCTTCAGATGAATCATTATGTTTTGAATAGTCGTGATTCCTATAAAGTAATGTTGCAATTACTCAGCCTCGCAGCTTAATCATTCTGTTGGATGTGCTAGCGTATCGCAGCTTCAAAAAATCGGAACCGCTGCAATTCTCCTTCAGAGATAACTCAACACTGAAACACCAATCATTGCTCTAAAGTAAGCATAGATTAGACATAAGTCCTAGGCCAATCATGGCTGAAGCATAAGCACTGCGTACGCGCACCGCACCCATGACCCGAAACAGAAAAAAAAAACTGAACCGACTAAATCCAAGCTTAACCTAGATTCAACGATAGCTCGTTCGAGGAGCTGACGCCCAGTAGAGAGCTTAACGTCTACTTCAGAATTGTAGTGTCCATTGAATCCCGTACGGCTTTACAGTGACTTGGGATTTTCACCCGATTGGCAGTCAATGCCTCTTAGAAATGTCGGGGAGGCATCTACGCCAGAGGAATGGAAGGCTTGGTTGGCCCGAGCGAGACACGACCCTCTTACCGTGGATTTAAGAACTGGCGCCGCCTGCCGCTACACTACCTCTGTTAGAATGGGTGAAATACAGTTTAGATTGCTCTACAATCCCAAATCTGGCATAGGGGAATTTTCAGATAATGATCACATATCACCTTATGATTATCACCACCCACCAATTATTTCGTGCTGTGTGCAAGGCAGAAGGTGTATGGTCGGCTACAGTGCACTGCACTCAACCAAGAGCAGCAGTGTAAACTGACGAGGATGAAAAACAGCTACGGTAGCGCGAAAGTCGATTAGAAAAGAGCGTGAGGAAGACGCTGGCGATCAATTAAATGGAGTTAAAGTAAATTTGCGCAGCTGAGTCACGGCCGCCGGCGGAATTCGATTTGAAACTTTTGCGCTGTGAATGCGCTAGTGTGTGTGTGGCTTGGGGAATGTGATGACGCCGTCATCGTCCAGTAATCCAATAATCCTGGCCGGACTGCTGCGGCTGCGATAAGACAGAAACGAGGCGAAGCTCGAACCGCCGAGGTGACGGTGCTGAGAAAAACCCCAGAATCTCATTAGTTGCTCGACACAGATAGCACACGAATAATGTGGTCCCCAAGGAGTTCCCGGAGAGCATCCAAATGAGTTGCACTATTGTGGTGGACTCTTCGCTTTTCACACAATGAACTATGTACTGCGCCTGTTGAAAAGCGCCACAGCGAGAGTTTTCAAGAGATTTCTACAGCCACTTTGGCCTTCAGAAGTGGCTCAACCCATCAAAATACTTGGAATTCTTGCCCTCAAGTTGGATCACATGCACTGAAATGCGATTTGGAAAAAGATTAGCTCGGTCCAGCCACACTTCAGCGCCAATCATATTTCAGGGTCTGATTTGTTGCAGAGTTTTTCTCCGGCAAACACCAAGATTTTTTGTCTTCCGCTTACGCTACACCTTCAGCTTGCGCACACTTCAATTTCCTCGCTTCGAAGGGAATGCAAATACAATGCAAAGTGGGTGTCTTGTGAAAAAGTGCATGGTGTTAACAATGGCAACAGCACGTTACAGAGATGCCTCAACAATGCTTTGGTTTCCAGTTTGAGCTCTGCTTCTACTCCTCCCTCCTACAGACCAGCGGGATCTTGTGAAGTGACCGTATAGAGTCTTCCGACTTCTGTGACAAACATCCTCGATTAAACCGCTCTCGGGGTGCATCGCTCGCCTCTCGAACTTTTTTCGCCTCTCAGGTGATTCAAATAATCTCTTATTTCGCTGTCTGTCGGCCTCTGAGACTTCTCAACCGCGTAGACTTCGTATTCCTCTTTTTTCGAAATTTTTTTCGAGCTTATAATTTCTGTGTTTTTGATGATATTTCTTCATTTTTCCTTATAGTCCACCTCACATCACCATCACCAGTTTCGTGTTCGAGTAGAATTAGCCCATTAAATTTACCCTGACCTTTGCCTTAAGGAGTGTGACGGTGCGAAATGGACCAGTCTGACCTCCACTTAGCCTCCCATGCTTTGAATAAAGCAACCAAACGCACGGCGTATTCTCAGGTCATCGATAGACGAGAGCTAATTGTTTGTTTTTCCGCCAATTAAAAACGTAGCAAATAAAAATGACGAGCGCAACAGCAATATCGAGCGAGGCAGGCGTTTCTCTTCCTTCTCAGCCCGTTTAATGTTTTCTGAAGAGCTTCAACCG